AGACACATTTATATAAAGAATATATATGTAATGTATATCAAAACTATTCTTCACGGAGTCACAAAGAGTTGAACAGCACTGAGTGACTAAGCACACACACATTGCTATTCTTTCCAGGTAAGCACATAAAGTGGAGTTTATCCCACAGTGACCAAATTCAGTGTTAGAAATATGCATCAGTGTGATATCTTCTTAATGAATATATCACATAAGTAAAATCTATTTCAATAACTTTTTTACAATCAATAATAGCATTTTAGTATTAGAAGTGTAATCGATAAAAGTTATTAAAATATATCACAATCACAGTGTCAAATATAACATGAATAAAAACATCACAACATGTATCTTTTCACTTCAAAAAACTTTTGTTGCCTTCATGTGATCTTATTTTTAAGAATATCTACTTGAAGTGTATATTTATTTTGAAATATTTACTTTCACTGGTAAGTACTCTTAACAAACTATAATACAAATTGTTGATACATCTTTAAACACATCTAATTTTGGAAATTTGCCCTTGGCACTTAGTAATATATTATTAGTTCCCTTGTCACAAAGTAATATTTAAGCACTCAAAGTGAGCATACCATTGGTATCAGTTACATAGTTGAAAACCATTTTGATGTTCAGTTGCTCAGTTCTGTTGGTCTCTGTGACCCCAGCAACTGCAGCATGACAGGTTTCCCTGTCCTTCACAATCTCCTGGAACTTGCTCAAACTCCATAATTAATCAAATTATTACTTTGGGGTATTATGAATGATCAAAAATTTCTAAAACTAAATCATATATTAGAGTAAGTCACACACATACTTTTTCATATAATTGTTCTATTTCATTTTGAATGTAGATTCTGCAAATGAAATTACTTTTCCTCCTTAAAATTTTCATACACATTTCTATACAACTGTTTGTGTTTATCTCATATATTTATAAAAATGATTATTTTACCATAAGCTCAATGCTACAGAACAGTTTAAATTCATATCAATGTTGTAAAGAAAAAAAATGTCTGGGTGTTTGTTTCTGAATGTATATTCTATTTTGGTAATATAGTATTGATTTCATAATTTTAATTAAGGTTGTTTACCCTTCAGTGTGATGCTTACCCAAGCCATGTCTTCATGATGAAATTAGAATATGAAATGTAAGGCCCCAAGTACTTGGTAGAAGTGGCTTATTCATACTGTTAGAGCTCGTTATTGTAAAATAGAATTTTATGGTAATCTGAAAAAAAAAATGATAAAAAAGAGCTACACAGAAAGAGAGAAATACCATAAACATTTAGTTCTAAGGGGTAAACTGAGAAATAAAGCACTAAATAAGGGAAGAGAGAAGAAATAAATGTAGTTCTTCAATAAAAACCAAGACATTGAGAAGTTAGATAAATTTGTGCTCATCGTTTAGCCAGAGCTGGTTTTAGGGGAAGGACAGCCTCATCATATTATCTACTTCTCTGGTTAAAAGCAAACCATAGTAGCAAAAAAAAAAAAAAAAGCAATTGTTGGTCCTTTAATGGACCGGAACCTGGTGGTCCGGAGTCCACGCTAAGAAAGTAAGGGAGAGAAAGCGGCTGATATCCCCTGGTTTACGCGGAAAGTCAATAGAGTCCTCAGGGCTCCGCTGCTGCGCGTAGGCACCAGGCGCCCTCTCGAGTGGGTGACGGCGCAGTGCGCCTTCTCGAGAGGGGCTTAGAAGCCCGGGCAAGAAAGTGAGCTCAGCGGGCCTCCGCGCTCCAAGGATTAGCCAGAAATAGAGGGGAGAGAGAGAGAGAAGAGAAAGAAAGAAAGACACGGGGACTCAAGCTCTGATGGAGCAAAGGTGTTTTAATCAACATGGCGTGGGCATATATACTGTCTTAAAGGTGGTTATTCTCAGCAAAGATAAAGATTAAAATTCCAGGCTTACAAAACCTAAGACGATCCCTATCAAAGAGAGAGTTGCAAACAATCACCTTTTCATAAGAAGGAAGAGGGTACTTATCACTGTAACGAGAAATGCCTGATTCCTCAGCCCCAGGAAGGGCGTGCCTCTCCTCTTAATTCCTGAATATTCAGGAATCAATAAGGGCCAGAGGGTTCCTGACAGATCCAAGACAGCACACAGGAAGCCTCTTGTTAGATGCCTCCTGACAAGCAATGATATTCATTTTCTATACCAATCTGTTTTCAAAAGTACTCAGTTTCATTAGGATATGGTTGCTAAGAATGTGGCTACCTCTACATGAAAATTTCAGCCACTGAAAACTTTTTAAAAATTAATTTAATTTATTTTTATTTATTTTTGACTGTGCTGGGTCTTTGTTGCTGAGCGTGGGCTTTTCTCTAGTTGGGGTAAGCGGGGAATACTCCTTGTTGCAGTGTCCCGGCTTCTTACCACGATGTTTTCTCTTGAACAGGCCTTAGGCATGTGAGTTTCATTAGCTACTGCCCCTGGGCTCAGTAGTTGTGGCACAGGGGCTTAGCGGCTCCAAGGCAAGTGGGATCTTCCTGAACCAGGGATCGAACCTGTGTACTCTGCGTTGACAGGTGGGTTTTTAAACAATGGAACACCAGGAAAGTCCCTGAAACCTTTTTAAAGGGATTCACTCGCACTGGCTTTTACTACATGATATCTTTTGACTCTGGTAAGATTGCAAGTCTGATGAAACGTGACACTTGGACAAAGCACAGGGCCAATTCTTTGCTTTCATAAATCTATCTGGTCTATTTAATCATTTTAAGAGTATCTGTAGGTGGCTATTACCTTAGGAAGTGTTTCTATCTCTGGAGGTAAACATGTTTTCCATACAACCAAACTGGCAAAATGAAGTTGGCTGAAGTAAAATCGAGTGGTTACTCCAAAACTACTTCCTTCTCATTGTCAAGCAGGATTTTCTGCCATCTGCACCTACATCTCAATTGACAATATGACCTAGACTATGTGACTGAAATTAATCACTGTAACAATAATAATAATAAATGTTAACATTATCACATCATTACTCAATTACTAGCAGTTTTAGATGCTTAAACTATATGTAACATAACAAATCTATGAGTAAACAGAATTATTGACTTTCCTTTGCACGTGAAAAATTTGCAACCAAGAGAACTCAAGCTACAAATGGGAAAACTAGAGGCAAATTTAGACAACATAATTCTAGCATATATATTTTTAAGCATCATCCTATGGCTATGAAACATAGTTCATGGTCAGGGATCAAAGAGATGATTCTTTGACTGACATCTACTCATAGGGGCATCAGTCAGCTTCTTTCAACTGATACTTTATTGAAGTGACAGGGAGTCTTGCTTTTTATCATGAACTGAAAAGGATGAACTGAATTCTACAAGGAACTGTACTATATATTATGTGATGAAGAACAATCTATTCTGGAAGAAGGAAACAAAATTGAATCAAATGAAGATAGATCAAAATCTTTAACAGAGATAAAGGGAAGCATTTGAGAGAAATTACGAGTAATAAATAGTCATGGGATAAGTGAATCTATCTTTCCGGTTCCTGAGTTAAGCAGAATTTTCTGGGATCCTACAAATCTTCCTGAGTTTTCTGTTCTAATTCTATTTCCCCCTTAACCTGATTTTACTTTTAATGTTTATTTGGCAAGCAATATAATCTTATGTAATATATTGGCCAAATCTTATCAAAGTTTATTAGAGATACCAATAGAGAAAAAATACTATTAGCTAGTATTTGTATGTATTAGCTAGTATTTGTATGTGTGAAGTAAGATCCTCATAATGGAAAACATTTCCAAGCCAAATACTGCCATCTCTGTGTATAACTACCTTCTAGAAATCTGTTTACATGGTATTGCAATTTCTTTAAGTATTAGCTTTATAAAAGTTCTGTATTCAAGAAATTTTTATTAAATAAATAGTTTCTGCATTATTTTTCTTATTTAAATTCTCGTACAATGAATTGCTAAAAACAAATATAAATATAGAAAAGTATTTTTCCATAACTAATCTGTTGTCCTGATGACAAATACATAGAATATTTAAAAATTTTTATGTAGAATGTAAGTAAAATGTAAGTTAAATTTCGTGCTCAAAATATTATTTTTCCACATTGTCTAACTCCTGTATTACTTAGTGATTTCTACACCTATATGACTGAGTTTCCTCTATTTCACTTGATAAAACCATTAAAAGTAAAGTATGTGTAAATATATATATATATATATATATATATATATATATACATATAAATGATTGTATACACATAGAACACATATATACATACATGCAGTCTTCTAGAGACATAAGTATGTACTTTTGAATTTAGACATATATGAATTAATAGTAATTTTATTCTGCTCAAGTATTTTAGGTGGTGTTTGCTGCTGCTGCTGCTAAGTCGCTTCAGTCGTGTCCAACTCTGGGCGACCCCATGGACGGCAGCCCACCAGGCTCCCCTGTCCCTGGGATTCTCTAGGCAAGAACACTGGAGTGGGTTGCCATTTCCTTCTCCATTAGGTGGTGTTTAATGTCATCCATATTATTTGAAATTAATAAATGGAGCTTCCCATGTGTCACTAGTGATAAAAAACCTGCCTGCCAATGCAGAAGTCTTAAGAGATGTGGGTTCGAACCCTGGGTCAGGAAGATCCCTTGGAAGAGGGCATGACAACCCACTCCAGTATTCTTTCTGGAGAATCCCATGGACAGAGAAGTCTGGTGGGCTATAGTTTGCTGGGATGCAAAGAGTCGGATGTGAGTGAAGTGACTTAGCACTCACACATATGTTAATACATGAAGGGCCTTCAATTCTAAATTTAAGTTTATAATACGAAATTGCATAAGAACATTCCAAAACTTTTCTGTGGTAAAGTTCATACAAGGAAGATTTACAATAAGAATATGAAATTCAAAATAGCCTAAATAATGCTGTTTCTGTAAAGAAACAGAATAAGGCAGAAGCTATATTAGAAAAGATATTATTCATTGGTTCATTAGTTAAAATTGTATTTGTTTTAGTTGAAATTTAAGTCAGGTCAATGTTTTGAGAACAGCATCTTTCTCACAACATCCTTAACGGCTTGTTTTACCTGCCGGTTCCGTAAGGTATAAATAAACGGATTGAGCATAGGAGCCACAGAAGTATTGAGCATAGCTACTCCCTTTGTCAAAGCAACCCCTTCCTTCACTGAGGTTTTCACATACATGAAGATGCAACTTCCATAAGAGATTGAGACAACAATCATATGGGAGGAGCAGGTTGAAAAGGCCTTTTTTCTTTGTTGAGCACAAGGGATTCTCAAAATTGTTCTGAGGATGTAGGAGTAGGAGAGGATTACTAACATCAAGGTGGACATGAGAGTCAGCACAGCTAAAACAAAGCTCATGAGCTCTAGCGTGCTGGTATCTGTGCAGGAGATTTGCAGTAAAGGGGCAGAATCACAGGTGAAGTGGTCAATGACATTAGAGTCACAGAAATCCAGCTGCAGCCCTATGGTCAGTGGAGGAAAGATCACCAAGAATCCAGCCAGCCAAGAGCCACCTACAAGCTGGTAGCAGATCTTGTTATTCATGATGGTCGTACAATGCAGAGGTTTGCAGATAGCCACGTAACGATCATAGGACATAGACGCCAGGAGAAAGAACTCTGTTGAACCAAGAAGGATAAAGAAAAAGAGCTGAGCTGCACAAGCATTATAGGAAATAGATTTGTCTCCAGTTAGAATGCTCATCAAAAATCTAGGATTACAGACAGAAGTAAATGAGATTTCTAAGAAGGAGAAATTCCTGAGGAAAAAATACATGGGAGTCTTCAGATGGGAATCCAGCAGTGTAAGAATGATGATAGTCAGGTTTCCAGCAACACTCAGCACATATGTGAGAAATAAAAAGGAAAAAATCGCAGCTTGTATTTTGGGATCATCAGTCAGACCTAGAAGGATGAACTCTGTCACTGATGTTCTGTTTCTCATTTCTGGTGGCTGATTTTTGACAAATCTTACTGGCAGATACAAGAGAGTAATAAATTGATTAGATACACACAAATGTCTGCACCTGTTTTTCAAGTAATAATTTTATGTTCACAAAAACTTTCTGGACTTTTATACATATATTCACTTTCCCAATTTTATTATACATCTTAGGAGTGTTTCTTTTGTTTAATATTAGTCTCATCTGTAGGATGCAATGTCCTCTGAGCCTTACTGCATATATATTGCATCTTTGTTTATTATTACTGTTACCTGGAAAATCTAGTGATTGAACATGAACTCTTCTCATGCTTCATTGTTAAGCTAAAATATAGAGGAAATTATGCTCTCAAGTTATCTTTTCCAGGCATAAAATTCTGACTGATAATGGAAATCAGTGATCAGCCTAAACTTAATGAATATTTCCTAGGGAAAATTCTAAATGCTTTTTTGGAGAAGTAGTGACTATTACCTCTGTTAATTTATTTATTGCCCTTTTTAAAAAATACAGAGACCAAGTCATAGTAATATATTATAAACTTTTATTTATATTAAACTATGGTTTATATAATATTATCCATATTTTAAAACCCAGTAGTCCATTCAATTTCCAGAAGTTAGAGTCTCTTAACCCTTACCTTTATTCTTGATTTCCTAAAAATATAACTTGTCATGATATGCAATTAATGTAGTGATTTTTAATAGATTGTTTAAAAGCTTCTAATAAGTTTTACAGATTGAGTTAATAGCTTAAACAATATATTTACAAATATGTTAATGAAGATCAGAAATATTCTTATATAAAATTAAGATATGAAATATGTAAACACTTTATATATATCATTTAGAACTATCTTGGACATCCAGGCCAAGAATATGTATCAAGTCTTTGTAAAGTGTGATTATACAAAAATTAAGGAAAATGTGGTGTGTTCTACACATTTCTGTTAATTGATAGAAATCACCATTTCAAATATCTTTGCATTTCAATTTATTGGTTTAACTACTGAATATATATAAGATAACATACTATATAATATTATATACACTGTACGTAATTATATATATTAAAGAAGAAGAGAATCACAACAGAGGGTTATAATCAATGCTTTGTAATAAATAGAAGCATCAGATTAAAATAAATAATACTTACATATGGTGAAAAGACTGATGACTTATGTGACATATTGAGTACAAACTAAGGTGCTCAATTATCATAAATCAAAAGATAAGTAGTGGTCTAATGCTTCATGGAGAAATAAATATTTTCCTTGTCTTTCCATAAATCTCTCTTTTCTCCCATAAAACCCTTCAAGTTTCAGGAGCTAAACAGCTAATGGAATAGTTTTCTCATATTTTTCTTCACGATTTGTCCCAAATATGGAATCCTGAACATATCCCACTGGCTATCTTAGCAGCAACATTTTCATGTGAAAGCTAAAAAGAAAAAACATTTGAGAACTCTTTTGAATAAGCTCTTCTGATATTTCACAGAAGGCCATTTCCATTTATTTTTCTTAGGAAAAAAGTAAACCTAGCCCATTTAAAGTGTTTTGTTACAGAAATACATATATATATTTTTTGGCTTCAGAAATAATCTTTGAGATAAATCCTTAATGACTTCTGGGAAAATAATAATAGGGCACTGATGAATCATGAACAAGATTAGCTTTGGTGGGTATCTTTTAATTGATATTATGGGACCTGTGTCCCAGGAGAAGATTGAGAAAATTATCCAGCAGAGTGATGGTCAAGTATTTGGTAAGGTGGGAAGTGTAATGAAAATAAACTAACATTTTCTGACCATATTCTTATGATGGATATATCCTTCACACTATATGGTATATGTTTAAAATATGAAAGCAAAACAGAAGACTATTAATGAAGAAAGACATGGTCTCATTGTGTATAAAACAACTTTAAAATTATTAAATCTTTGAGTTACATTATTTTACCTATATTTCCTTAAGAAGTACTTCTACTTTCATCAATTGAGCTAAATAACTAGTATACACCAAAATGAGAAACAACTGGAATTTCACCTTTATGTTTCTGTATTATTTCCCATGTATTGGTCTAGAATCCAAGATACACTTTAATGTATACCAAAACTGCTGTTACTAATGAGCAAATGAGGCACTGTTCATTCCACAGTGAGTAAATACAATGCAGAAAAAGATAACTTCTTCAAAATAGCATCTTGTTGTTGAATATATCATATAAGTGAAAACTAAGATACTTAAACTATTTTTGTGTAACCAATAATGATACTTCAAAGCAGAAACTTAATTAATAGTTGAATTATTAGATATTTTATCACCACTGTAAGTATAAATATAATTATAAAAACACAAAATGATGTTTCCATTTTAAAGAATTTGTCTTCATGTGATATATACATTACTTCAAGCACTTGATAATTAACAGGAAATTTTCATTTTAGGCAATAATTAACCATTGGCTATGGGCTTCCCTGGTAGCTCAGTGGTAAAGAATATGCCTGCCAATGTAGGAGGCATAGGTTCAGTCCCTGGGTTGGCTTCAAACCCTGGGTCGGGTGTTCCACATTTGATTTTTTTTTAAATTTCAATCTTTAATTAAACTTCACATTTAATTTCAATATTTCCATTCCTTCTAATTAAATGGTGTGAGCTACTTAGTGACTGAAAACAGTAAATGTGTGTGATTTATCTGAATTTCCCTTATTTGAGGACCAATAATTGTGCTCTCTGATCTTTACATATGTATGTTAAATAGGTGTGCAAGCATCTTGCACTGATTTTCAGTAATTTCATGGACTAAGCTTTTTATGATTACCTACTTCTGACTATTTAATGTTAAAAATTTTCTGATGTCATGATATGGCCAAACAAAGGACACTGCATGTGATGTAAAAACAGTTATCCCTAAAATTTAGCAATAATAATTTCATTAATAATTAATATTTAATAATAATTCCTTCCAAAGTGACTGCATCATTTTGTGTTACCATTAGCAATGAATGAGAATATCAGACTTCCTGTTACTCTGCATTATCTTTAGCAATTGGTGTTGTTAATGTTTTACAGTTTAGTCATAATATGTGCATAGTGATAGCTCATTATTGATATAATTTGCAGTTGTCTAAGGACAGTGATCCCTAACATCTTTTCATTCTAATCTCTCTGATTCAAGGAGTTAGATCTGGTAGATACAGTGCCTGAAGAATTATGGACAGAAGTTCCTAACATTGAATAGAAGGTGACCAAAACCATCTCAGAAGAAAAAGAGGTGCAAGAAGTGGTTGTCTGAGGATGTTTTACAAACAGCTGAGAAAAGAAGTGAAAAGCATGCGGAAAAGGGAAAGATATACCCTACTGAATGCAGTGTTCCAGAGAATAGCAAAGAGAGAGGGGAAAAAAAAAAAAAAACTTCTTAAATGAACAATACAGAAAGGTAAAGAAAAACAAAAGAATGGGAAAGACTAGAGGTCTCTTTAAGAAAATTGAAGAGGTCAAGGAAATATTTCATGCAAAGATAGACACAATAAAGGACAGAAATGGCAATGATCTAAGAAAAGCAGAAGAAATTAAGGAGAGGTGGCAAGAATACACATAAAAAATAGACATAAAAAGTTTTAATGACTGGGATAACCATGATGATGTGGTCACTCACCTAGAGCCAGACATCCTGGAGTGTGAAGTCAAGTGAGTCTTAGGAAGTATTACTATGAGCAAAACTAATGGAGGTGATGAAATTCCAGTTGAGCTATTACAAATCCTAAAACATGATGCTATTAATGGGCTGAACTCAATATGGCAGAAAATTAGAAAACTCAGCAGTGACCATAGGGCTGGAAAAGATAATTTTTCATTCCAGTCCCAAATAAGAGCAATGCCAAAGATGTTAAAGCTGCCATACTATTTCAATCATTTCACATGCTAGCACTGTTATGCTCAAAATCCTTCAAGCTAGCCTTCAGCAGTACTTGACCTGAGAACTTTCACATGTGCAAGCTGAGTTTAGAAAAGGCAGTAGAACAAGTAATCAAATTGCCAACATTCATTGGATCATTGGAAAAGTAAGAGAATGCCAGAAATTCATGTACTACTGCTTCATTGACTATAATAAAACCTTTGAATGTATGGATTACAAAAAACTGTGGAAAATTCTTAAAGAGATGAGAAGAACAGACTACCTTACTTGTCTCCTGAGAAACCTGTATGCAGCTCAAGAAGCAACAGTTAGAATCAGATCTGGAACAAGTGACTGGTTCATAATTGAGAAAGGAATACAACACAGCTGTATATTGTCACTGTGTTTTTTTTTAACGTCTATGCAGAGAACATCATGGAAAATGTTGGACTGAATGAGTCACAACTTGGAATCAAGATTACTGAGAGAAATATTAACAACCTCAGATATGCAGATGGGACCACTATAATGGCACGAAGTGAACTAAAGAACCTCTTGTTGAGAGTGAAAGAGGGGAGTGAAAAAGCCAGCTTAAAACTCAACATTTAAGAAACTAAGATCATGGCATCTCGTTCCATAAGTTCATGGCAAATATAGATGGGGAAAAGTGGAAGCACCATCAGATTTTATTATCTTGGGCTCCAAAATTACTGCAAACAGTAACTGCTGCCATGAAATTAAAAGATGCTTACTCCTTGGAAGAAAAGTCATGATAATATCTAGATGGCATATTAAAAAGTAAAGAGATAACTTTGTCAGCAAAGGTCTATATTGTCAAAGCTATGATATTTCCAGTAGTCATATATGGATGTGAGAGTTGGACCATAAAGAAGACTAAGTGTCAAAGTATATATGCTTTTGAATTGTGGTGCTGGAGAAGATACTTGAGAGTCCATTGGACTGCAAGGAGATCAAGCCAGTCACTCTTAAAGAAATCAACCCTGAATATTCATTGGAAGGACTGATACTGAAGCAGAAGCTCCAAAATTGGCCACCTGGTGTGAAGAGTCGACTTGTTGGAAAAGATCCTGATGCTGGGAAAGATTGAA